TCCTTATCCACTATGCCGCCGCCAAAGGAGACTTCCCCTCCCTGAGGCTTCTCGTCAGTCACTACCCTGAGTAAGGACAGGCCCTCTGACGTGGGCCCTGGGTGGGGTGGACTGGGGCTCTGAGGAACACATGGGGTCTGCCATGCCTCTCTAGCATCCCAGGGGAGTGACCCTCCAGTGGCTATCCTGGCGGCCATAGGTCCAGACAGCTCCTACCCAAGTTTAAATTCCTCTCGCCACCAGCCATATGCTCCAAAGTCCTGCAGGCGCCATCAGCACCCTTGGCCGCATGCAGCTGGATGAGGGAGGCCGATCATGGAGGCCAGAGCTCCCCTCTGGCAGGCTTGCCCCTGAGCCCACAGCAGAGGGGCTCTCGCCAGCTCTGGCTCACTTACAAGGCTGGTCTCAACACAGTGCCAGGAGGCACCTTCCATAGTGCTAGTCAAGCAGGCAGAGGAGAAGCCACATCAATCAACAGCAATCAGTTAAGGGAGAGAGCCCTGGACTTCCCATCCCACTTTCTAGCCTCAGAGCCTGCAGCTAGGCCGTGCAGAGAGCAGCTTGCCATTTCCTGTGGCCCCTTGGCCCATTCCCACTACCAAGGGTGAGGAAGGGCTGCCAAACCTCCCAGGGTTCTCGGCCTGAGTGGCTAAGTCTCAGCCTGAGTGGCTAAGAAAGCAACCAAGTGGGGACCTGGGAGCTCCCCGGATAGGGTGGGGCATGTGGAAGACTGGGGATCTGGGCAGAGCAGGGGTTCAGATGGGAGTCTGGGGATGGTGGGAGGCAGGAGTTAATTGTGTCTTGGTGAGGCAGGAGTTCAGGGGGAAAAGCCACCCAGACCCTGTCTGAGGGAAGGGGGTGCCAGTGGCTAATGGCCCTTATCAGTTGAGCTGGTACCTAGGGCAGAAGCATGAGGTGGACCAACCTCAGGAGAAGAGCAGCTACCCGGTGAGGAAGTTAGGTCCTGTGTCCACACCAGCCCCACTACTGAGGATGCCAGCAGGCCACTGGCCACCAGGGTGCAAGCCGGAGGCCAGTTAGACACATGACTGCCTGGCCTGGGGCACAGGCGCCCTGGATGGGTGTAGGACAGCCTGGGACCCATCAGGCTGGCTTGAGTTGTCCCTGGGACCCAGCACAGGCAGGTTAGGCTGTTTGCATCCTTGCTAAGCAAGGGGGTCCTAGTTTTGGTGAGTGAGAGACCCAGCAGGTGCTGGACAGGGGACAGAGGTTTGCTTCACAGTCATCCCTGTCAGGGGCCACGTGGTACCACCTGAGTGTAAATTCTTTGCTTCCAGGCAAGCTAGAGTTTGGTTCATGTCAAAGGTGAGGGGCTTTAAAGTACGAGCTCCAGAGACCCCTCAGTGCAGGGCTCAGACCTGCACCTGTCAGCACCCCTGGGAGGCTTTGTCTCAGACTCCTGAGTTAGACTTTCCATGCTGGGACCTGAGGACCGTGCCTGTGACTGTCCTACCCCACAGCCTGATGAGTCCGATGGGTCTGTCCTACCCCCTCACTTCTAGCAGAGGACACAAAGTCCCAGGAAGGAAGGGATGGGCTGTCGCCATGCAGCGAGGAAAGCCCATCGCCTCCTTCCCCATTCTACATAACGTGCCCCCAATGGCCAGCCACTGGCAGGGACCAGATGGCCCATGGTGTGAGCTGAGGATGGATGCCAGCCTGACCTCCCCTTACCGAGAAGCTTGGGCCTACAATGACCTGTGACCCCCTCCGTGAGCTGGGATCACGGGTCCAGGAGCACTCTGGTTGGGCTGTAGAACACTGCCTGGGGTCTGGCCTTGGAAACCCTTACCCCTCCCAGGCCTGCCAGGTGCTGAGTATGATTGGGCCTGGATGTTGACTCCACAGCCAGATGGCCAGGGCTGATGAGCTGCCAGCCCCCAGGAGTCTCCATGAATCTCAGGAAGGTGGACAGGGCTCACTTCCCTGCATCGTGTGTGAACTGGCTGATAAGGCAGCGCCTTTGTGTGGTTGCCAGCTGGGCTCAGGCAAGAGGGGAAGGTGGGGAATTGGGGTTGGGGGCTAGCATGTCCACTTGGCCTTCTGCCTCGGAATGGAGACTTCTGCTCCCCAAGACTATGAACCTCAGGGTTGAGAATTAGGGAGTCAGAGGCTTGAGTTGCCCTGTCCACAGGGCCCAATCAAAGGCCCAGGCAGCCCAGCGTGGGAGGCCATGGCTGGTCTCTCCCTCTCTCTCTCCCTTCCTAGGCCTGCTGTGAATCTTATGAATTATTCACAGGGGCTCAGCTCTCCTGGCGGGTGGGTGAGCTGGGTGAGCGAGCAGGTGAGGGAGGAAGGGCGGAAGGGCTCTTATACCTACTGCTGGGAAACTTGATCCTGCCAGAGTGGCGTGGGCAGCCCTGGCAGTGACAGGCCTCGGAGGAGCAGGAGGCCTGGACCACCTGGTGGAAGAGCAGCTAATGCCAGGGCTATGTCTTGGAGAGTAGAAAGGACTTGAGGTTGCAGCAACACCCTGTCCGTGTCTCACCCTCTTGGCCTATCTGCCCAGTACACTGGGCCAAATCTTCCAGAAGCAGAGGACTTGCCTTGGTAACCGTGGGGGCTGCTGACCCTGTGTGAACCCGTCCTCTGAGAGCAGCCCCTAAGTAGGCAGGAGCTGGTGGAAGGGAGCGAGGGGTCTGGGTCCCCAGCAAAGACTGCTGAGAAGGGACAAGTAGCAGGTAGCCCTCAAAGTGCCTGCTCACCCTCCCAGCAAGGTTCCGGTGCCCAGCAGCCCCCTCGGCTCAGCCTGCCTCCCACATCTGCTGGCTGCCTGGGCCTGAGCAACTGGAGGCAGCCCCAGGCTCCATGGAGGGCTCTGCCAGACATAGCAAACGAGAAGACTGGTGCGCCCAAAGGTTTTTACCTTCAGCTCCCTGCAGGTGCCACCTTCCCCCCAGCCTCCTCATCCCCCACCTGCTCCTGGACTAGATGGGGACAGAAAGTGCCCTGTCCAGGAGTCAGGATAAACCCCAAGTGGCTCCCACCTGCTGAGAGCCTCCTAGGGGCTTAGCCTCACAGTCCCCCTGGGCAATGGCTCTGTGGGCAGCCCCTGTTACAGGTTGATGCATTCAGCTAATGGTTAGCAAGCATCACTCTGTGCCATAGTCTAGGGGCTGGAATACACTGGCAAACCAGACTAGTGTCCCTGCCTCCTGCAGCTGGCAGATCCAGATATGACATGGTGTTTCAGAAAGGCCAGTGGACCAGCGGCAGCCCCAGGTTTCCTGTGCACCCCCTCTGTGGGTCTGTCTCCCACTCTTACTCCAGGCCCTAATCTCTCAGGTCCTTTCAAGGTCACAGGGGCTTTCCTTTTGTCCTTTCTTGGGGCATAGCTTCATGAAGCCTGGGTGCTCTCAGAGCCTGAAGGGTTCAGGCACCCCCACCTGAGACAGAAGGGGGCTTCCCAGGATGCCCCGATGACCCACCCGTAAGGGACCCAGAGCCCATGGCTCAGCTCTCTCTCTAGGAAGGCTGGAGGCTCTGCCTATGCCCCTTACTTGCTGGGCACCAGTTTCTGCTGCAGGCAGCAGGGGCTCATTCATTCTTAATTGCCTGCCCCCAGGTCTACCCTCAGCGTTTGTCAAGGTCACCAGGCAGCAAAGCCAGGGGGCGGAGCCTACACCAGTGCATCCAGATCAGAGAAGGCAGCAGTGGTCCTGCGCCCCTGACCCTGGTGGAGACGCTGAGAAAGGAGCGGCCTGGTGGAGGAGGGAGAAAGCCCTCTAAGTTGGGGGAGGGGGCCATCCTTGCCCCCATCTTGTGTCTCCACCAGCAGCTCCTGGTCCCAGCCTGCCATGGAACCAGGGCTAGCCCCCTCGCCCATTCCTCACCTGAATCCTTGCTCTTAGCTGTCCAACTTTAGCCTGGCCTTCACACAGGCTGTTTCCTCTGCCTGGAACTTTTTCCC